ATGTGCTTGAAAAACGTGTAAGTATAAGAAAAATGTCATTTTTTTGTTAGATGTTACAAAAAAACATGCGAAAAAACTAAACGAAGAGAAGAAAAATACGTCATTTCGTTTAATTATGTTGACATCAAAAATATAAAATTGTTTTGTATAATAAGGCATAGAATCAATAAGTGAAAAAATGAAAACCAAGACCAAAAGGCGTTTCGTTATAAATATTTTGAGTGCTTCGAATAAAACAAACAAAAAAATACAAATTATACTCATATTAATACATCTTGAATGTGTCAATGTGTGGGTGTGAGTGTGATCAGATAAGAGCGAAGATGAGAGCATAGATAAAATCAAATACTTACACCCACCCGCAATCAATTTCTCTCGTAGAATCTAGCATATGATACCTATTATGAATATATGAATATATTCAAATATGAAAACATGTAAATTGTTGTACTTTAATTCTAGTTTTAAATGCGTTTGAAATTTTCACACTAATATATTGAATACTGGCGCACATCAGATGGAATGTTCATAGAAAATTCTAAGATCTTAATCTAAACAATATTAGATTTTTTTGAAACAAGTAGTCTTCGTTTGTTCGTGAAGCAAACTATCAGATAAAGTCATACATTATTTCTCAGAGATTGAAACTGATGATACAAAATAAACTTGAACTGTTCCCAAAAAGAGTAAAGGTTTCTTCAACTTTTCTCTGCTTGCCATATGTTATTCTTGATTTAACCTATGCAGTGTTTATCTTAGAGCTAATATCAGTAGAATACACAGTATTGCATAATCTAATTATGATACTTTGTACTAGAGAATCATTGTAACAGTAAAATCGGACAAAGAAATACTTGACAATGAGATGTTGTCGGATTCAAAAGATCTGCTTTTTAACCTGTTGAATTCTGAATTTGATAAGAAACATGAAGGGCTTTAGACCGTCGCTGTGCGTATAATTTGAATCAATTTGTTTAGTTTTAAGAAATTTATAATATTTTTATTAATTCAAAGATGACCAGCTACACACTGTACTAATATAAAATTTGTTCTATATCTTTGAATCAAGCTGTCCATAAGAACAAATAATTATTTTATAAATTCATTTTTTTTCTTGTTGTTTACTGTATAATTAAAAATAGATGATAGAAAAAGAAATCATTTGTTTTTCCTTTATTTTTGATTAATATTACACAAGTAGAATTTTTTTACTTTGAGAAAAAGAAAATTCATTTAACTTTTTTCATTTACTTTTTGTTTTTAACTCAAATAGAAAAAAAACGGAAGAAAACATATAGACATAAGTTGTCGTCTATTTTATTATTTATATCCATTCATGCTTGAAATGTGAACATCTATATGAACGTTTTCAGCGAGAAGAAAACAACACCAACTCACTATTGACATTACTTATTATTTTTAACGATTACCTTTCTTTTTTTTTCTTTTTCTTACTATTTGAATTGTGTTTCTAACAAGAAAGTAACGGCTTTTTTCTTCAAAAGTAAAACTATATCATTCATGGTAAGTTGTATCTATGAAATTAACAATAAACACAATAGAAGATTTGTTTTTGATCTATCTAGAATTTCATACTATTTGGAAGTTTCTTATTAATTATAATCAATTACGGAGAGGCAACAACTTGTCCTACTGGATATAATGTAATTACACAGGGGTGTTACAAAGTAATTAATGGTACTGGTGGTGGATCATGGAATTATGCTCGAGAATATTGTTATAATGATTCGTCAGTATTATTAAAAAATGAAACTGTACCAAATGCAACAACACATCTACTTGCATTGGAAGTTCTTACAGAAAAAAATTCTTTATTCTATTGGATGGCAGGTATGTTGTTACTTTTACAAATAAATTATGTCTATATTTTTAAAAATATTCTTAGCTTATGGCCTTCATAGTCAATTTTGGATTGATGGCACTGTTTCATTATCAACATGGGAATGGTCAGGACAGTCAATAACATGGTATTTTGAGGCATCACAACGAGCAGTTATAGGCAATGGAACAAACTATAAACTTGTCTATAATTCAACTCAACAAGGTTATCAAATAGCTGATGATATTCAAAATAGTCGACTTTTTTTTATTTGTGAATATCAAGGTTTGTCTTTTATTATGTTTACTACTTTCAAAAGAAATAAAATATCATTTTGTTTTCATTTATACATAGTTCCATGCATTAATAGTACTACATGTCAACCCAATGGGCAATGTTATCTGAATCTTGGACAAGAACTTTGTGTTTGCAATCCAGGATACACTGGTGTTTCTTGCGAAACTGAAGTGGATAATTGTTTATCAGCACCATGTCAACATGATGGAGTATGCATAGATGCTATAAATAACTATACATGTGATTGTTCAAGTACATTTTATACTGGACCAAATTGTGACATAGGTATGTAATTAAATCTATGATAGTTTTCAAAACAGATTCCCATTAATTTTTTTTTGTAGAATTACCTGATAAAACAGAACATAAACGTTCTACAGCATTTTGGACTAATTTTGGTCTTGTAATGTTTGTAATAGCTATGTTAACAATATCTGATTTACCATGGCACAATATTTCGACTAGTATGGGATGTTCAAATTATAATTTTAATATTTTTGGAAAAAAAAACATAGAAGAAAGTACTAATGAAATGGATGTTTATCCATCCGAGTCAACTGCATATAATGGTGATAATGGAGGAAAAAAGAAGTCAGTAAATGATGGAGTAACAGTAATGAAAGGCAAGAATTATAATGTAATGAATACAGTATGGAATCCGGATTATTCAAACTTTCAAACACCAAGAAATCCTCAATATAATGGATATTTTTCTCCAGATCAAAATACAGTACCTAGTATAACACAAATACAATCACATGCAATTAATGCTGCATCTAAACCAAAACCAATAGAAGATAAACGTATTTATGCTGTTGATATAAATGATTCAACAGCAACAACAACAACAAGAACAGCAACGCCAAGAGATCCTGCTGATACAATGGTTAGTTGGACACAACAATTACAAGAACAATTACGAAATAAAAAAGCTCGTGAAACAAGTGCTGCATCAACTAAGCAGTTAATTCACTCGGCAAATTCAAATGATAATTAAATGTACTTTTCTTTTCTTTCTTTCTTTTCCTATTTATTTATTCATTTATATATACAACATACACAAAGATCATTCAACTTTTTCTTCTAAACAAAACTATTCATGCTTATACATTTTGCTTTGTTTACATAAATTTTGAAAAATAAAACTATTCTTGAAAGAAAAAAAAACCAAAACTAATAAATCAACAATACATATTTTTCTTTTAAATACAAATGAATATTATTTTTTGAATAAATTCTTATTTCCTGAAGATGATCGACCTTCTTTAAATAATTTAACTGTTGGTAATGAAACACGTTCATTTTCAGATAAAGCTGTACAATATTTAATTGTATGAGCTAATTTACCAGTAGCACCACATTTTGGACAAACATAAGCCATAAGAACAGGACATTCAATTTCATTATCAACATTACGTAAATCTACAAAAGCAAAAAAAAATTTTATTTAAATTACTTTATTTTTTTTTCTTTACTATGTGAAGTATAAACACTAGTTGATTCACCATTTGATTTACAAAAAGTACATATTTGTCTTTTTTTTCGTTGAGACATTGATGATAAAAGATTCTCACAACTATTATAATGTGAATGTTGTTGAGAATAATGTTGTTTTCCTTTTCCATTAATCACTAAATTATACCAGAAATATTTCTTATTTCAATAATAATCTAGAATATACTTTGTTTAATAATTGTATGTTTTTGAGATAATTGTGGATAATGAAATTGTTTTGAATGATTTTCATTTTTAATAAAAGGTAATGGTTCAAAATAATTACTTTTTACTTCTTGTTCTTCATTTATTTTATTATGATAATAATTAAAATTATTCAACGAACAAACTGATGATGTTGATGATATAGTTGCAATAATATTAAATGGATTTGTTAAATCAAGATTATTTAATGAATCTATTAAATAATCATTACTATTATATGCTGAATTTATTTGATGTTCTTGATGATAATTTCCACAATTATGATTCATAGTATTACTTGAAAATAAACAAGGCATTGATGTTGTCCATGGTGAATCTATTTAATAAGATAATAGATAAGAAAATCAATTAGAATCACTTACACATTCTAGTGTTTCTTTGATATGTATTCTTATAATGTTTACGTCGATAATACTAATGTTAAAATGTACATCTTCGTCTGTATAGTTTTAAATTCTATTACGACATACAATAGACTGAATAAGACAAAAAACATTTTCTATTCTATAGTTAAACATTTCGTCTATTCTTCTTTTCGTACAAAAACACATGATTTACACATATACATATATATGTACAGGTTACTTAAATAAATCAATGAATCGAAAATGTGTAACGGTGCGATAAGTTTTTATTTTTGGTTATAATAAAGACAAATACCGCCTATTTCAATAAAATATATATTCTTAAACGATTTTCTATTATAATTAATAATTATATAAAGAATCTTTATGAAAGTCCATAATAAAAATAGTATCATATCTTTTTAAATAGAGAACTCTTTATAAGAGACTCCTAATTTTATTGTTTTTCCTAAGACAATGCATGCAAGGAACAAAAAAAAATGAGAGAAAGACAAAGAAATAATCAATATATAATAAGAAAAAAAAGAAAAAAAAATATTGATAATGGCTGAGTTAAATTGTTTAATAATGATTGACACATGTTGGTGTACGTCCAAGTACATGTAAAAAGAATGGATTCCAAACATCATCCGGAAGAACTCTATATAGAAAATAATAGAAATAAATTTAATAAATTATATGAACTTACGCGCGTAATAAACGTGTAATATGTAATTGAAGTGGAGGTAAAAAGATTGGACTACGAGTTGATTTAAGTCCACACATTATTTCACGTGCTGCTACATCGAAACGTTGTGGAGTTACACCTAAAACTTTTTCTTTGCCACTAGAAAAAAGAAATTTAATGTTTTTCTTTTGATTCAAATAAAATAGATTGAACTATATTTACAATTTACGTAATGTTGTATAGATTCCACCATCAAGATAAAATGGTAAAACAGATGTTGCTCGAACACCAGTTGCTTTCAAAAGAATTAATTCTTGACTAAGTGTTTCTGTAAAATCTATAAATTAATTATATGAAAAATATAATAAAAATAATTGACGAAAAAAAAAGAATAATTTACTAAGTAAAGCAGCAGTTGAAGATGAATATGATGACGTAAATGCATTTCCACTTAATGCGCCACTGCTGACAATATTAACAATTTGTCCATGATTACGAGCTATCATTCCACTTAATAAATCTTTAGTAATCTATTAATTATAAATAGAATGTAAATATATAAAAAAGAAAAACAAAAAAATCATACAAGAATTGGTGCGAGTGTATTAACAATTAATGTGTATTGATATTCTTCATCTGTATGCGATACGATATCTTTAAAATGAGCTGTAGCTGTAAAAATAGAAAAAAAATAAAATTAATTATTTTTTTTTTTGTAAAATTTTACCGGCACAATTAACCAATACAGAGATATTATCACTTAATTCTTCACGAATAGCTGTTATTGTGTATTTAAGTGCATTCAAATCACTAGAAATAAAAACAAATAAAATAGATATATATTTTATTTTTTACTAATTAACCTGAGATCACAACGATAAGTATAAATACGACAGTTTTCTTTTCCATAAGTTTGTTGGAGGTCATGTTTAAGATCATCTAATGGTTTCTTTTGTACATCTAATAAAGCAAGAACTCGAGCTTCCTTTGCGAATTCAAAAGCTAATGCTCGACCAAGACAACCACCAGCTAAAAAATTAATAATATATAATAAATATTCATTTAATCAATAAATTTACCTCCAGTAATAAGAACAGTATCATTTTGATATGAAACTGGTGTACGTTTTCGTACCATAGGTACATGAAGACGTGTCATTATTGGAATAAATGTATGATTCCATATATAACGAATTACAAGACTAGCAAGTACCAATAATGTAAAAAAATATTCGATAAGATTTGTTGCCCAACGAAACCTTGATAAAAAAAACTGAATATTTCGTATTATTACATTAAAAAATATTACTCACCATATAGGTGATTTACTGTCATAATCACGTAAAAGGGCATCAGCAGCACCAAATGTTGGAGACATTTCACTATATACCTACGATTTTTATTATAAATTCAATATTTTATGATACATATATATATATCAGAGACACTTACCCCCGATAAAGTTGCCATCGTATCGAGCAAATAAAAATGAAGAATAAACACTATTATAGTTGTCTATATAAAAGTGGAAAAAAAGAGATAATAACGACGCACGTTACAACCTTCGTCCTCTTCTAATCTAGGTATATTCTATGTCTATCGACTATCGACGATATCATATGTATGAACCAGTCATGATCTTCATACATAAAGAACGAATGTTTTACTTTGAAAACTATTTCTTTTATCTTTTGCAACAATAAACTATTGTTTGATCAATATGTTATCATCAGATCAAAACATATGATAAAATCGTTTGATAAATCGATGAGAAAACAATGCAGATGTTTCACCTATCGTATTTATTATTATATAAAGGGAAAAAAAAGAATATAAAAGCGAGAAATTATCTGTCATTATCCTGTTCTTAATACCGCAGAAAAAAAACAATTCTGTATTAATACAAGCACTGTTTAAATAAAAACAAACACCGGAAGTCAAATGAATTGAAATAAAACACATTCCAAACTATTAATTATCATTTTTTATTTGTTGTTGGGATATTATTTCAGGTTCTAATGGTTGTGGTAATAGTTCAATTTCTGATGTTGATTGATCGAATATATCAGCAATATCTTTTTGATTTATTATTGTTGGTCTTGATATAGGTTCAATAGGTTCAGTATTATCAATATCGATTAATTGAGGAATTTTTTCCATATGTGGAAAACGTGTATATGTATCTTTTAATAATGTTTGTACATCATTGACTGTTTGCATTAAACGTCGATTGAAATCAAAAATATTTTCATCAAATTTTTCACAATGATGATCAAGTTCATGATAAAGTGTAAAATTTTTTCTTAATTGTTGACTATTAGTTTCATTTGATATTGAAGACTCAAATAGAGAAATAAATTTTGAAGGTAATACCGGTTCACCACGCATATATAATGAAAAATCATCGGACGATAAACCAAGATGTTCAGCTTGTAAAAGTTCAATAAAACGAACAGCAGAATCCTAAAATAAATTATTTAAAAATTTTCATTAAACTCTTGTTGAAAATCATACAAGATTAGCTAAATAATAAAGTTGTTCACCACTTGGTTGGGAAAAATGACTTAGAAATTGTATATTTGAATGTAAACGTGGTGGTTTAGCTTTTAATACAATATAAATAAGAGCTGGAAGAAAACTATCAGCATTTATTCCACTACTACTATTACTAGCACGTATAGCATCTTCAATAAATGATTTACATTCCATAATTGAATGAATTTTTCCTTGTGGTGTTGTTTTAGGATCAAGTTCAATTAAAGCTAATCGAAATAAAAATAAAAAAACAATATTATTTGTATTAAATCTCGAAATATTTCTTTACCATTCATAGCTTTATAAATAGCTTCATGAGCAGTATGAATATTTTCATTAAGTACTGTATCTAACATTGGTGCTGTTATCCAATGAAGTGATGATATACGATTTTGTATTGATAAATCTTTTTCTTCACATGCTATACTAATACGGTTGAATACATATGCATAGTTACGTGAAAAGATTATTTTTTCAACATAATCTCGAACACGAAGAAGTAAATCTTCATTCTCATCTAAATTATCAATTTTTTTAAAAATATATTAATAAGATAAAATTTCAATTCACCTCGATATATTGGATTTGTTTGTATACGTTTTTTTAATGAATCTTTAAATGCTCCATATTCTTGTATAAGTGTATCGATATTAACATTTTTATTTGTACATTTTTTATGAAAATTAGTTGCAAATGTTTTGACTTGAGATTTTATATCAAGACGTGCATCGTCTGTTGTCATGATATCTAAATGTTTACTTGCTGCTTCATTTTCTAATGCTTGTTCATCGGTCATTAATGATGATATAACTGAGTTATTTGATGCTAGAAGAATTAAATTTTATTGTTTGATACGAGAAGAAAAACAAAATATACATACAACGAAGACTACCACCAGCACGATTTACCATCTGTCGAAGAGGATTACGCATACTGATGTTAGAACGACGTTTTTCTTGAAAATTAGAAAATGATGGAGACGATTGACCGGATGGTGGTGGAGTACCATCTAATGCTGGATTACTAAAAAACAATAAGATGTATTATTAACAAAAATTTCATCAAATATATTTTTTTACGTTGATTTTTCATCATAAACTTCTTGAATTTGTTTTGCTTGTTGATACACTTCACGATAACATTTACTACAAAATCCATCCCATATTTTATTACCATAAAATCCACAAGCATTTCGACAAAGTTCACTATCTCCTTTTGGATTTACTGTTGATGTTGATTCTGATTTTAACATTTTTGAAAATTTCTTTTTGTAAAAAAAAAACAAAAAAGCAAATATCTAAAGTAAAGATGGATTTTTTTTCATAAAAGAAATGCTCGATAAAAATTCTGTATAAATGAATAATGAAGAGGTTTAATACAAATATTGAATTTAATATAGTTTTTTTACTAGTTTTTATAAAAACAAGAGGTTTGATTGAATCAAAAATTGATTTGACATTATGGACAAAGAATGAATGAAATAGGATAAATACAAAAAAAAGAAAACATTTTTGATATTCTATAGAAAATAATGAACGTTAAGTTACGTTCAAAATAATTTCATATAAGCGCTGGCTATATAATATATTGATATGTCGATGGTTATAAGTCATTTTTATAAACATAGTTCCCAAAAATTAAATAAATGAATGCTGATTCTTCATTAGATGGATTTAGTCTACGAATAAAAATAAAAAGTTTAATTTATAAGAAATAAATTATCTAAAATTCGCAGAATGTTGTTCCTTTGATTCAACTTCAAACATCTTATTTATTTTTCGTTTACTCATTATCATCATGTTACTTTGAGTAGTACTATGGACGAATCAGAACTACGAATTTACAGATGGCGTACGTACAAAAGTATGTTATAATAATAATTTTTTTTAATAGAAAATTTTATTAGAAATATTGGCACATTTATTTGATATGACAGAGAAGAAGAAAAAAATAAACATATCTATCACATTGCGTATAAATTTTCATATGCAGTTCATTCATTATAACAAGAACAAAAAAAGTATCTGTATGTATATATTATCTTGCTTTTATAACAAACGATAGAGATCGAAGAAAAAGTTTTTTTGAACATCGGTAGAAAACAAAGAAACAAAAAGATTTTTTTGTATAAAGATCCATGAAATAAAGAATATAATAATTAAGAAAAGATTTAATAATTTATGCGAGAAATTTTTTATTTCCATCTTGTTCAATATGTCGATCATTTGCTAATGAACATCGACAAAGTGGACAGCAAAGTGAAAATTCACCATTTGATTCAATCCATTTTTTAAGACATACACGATGATATTGATGTAAACATGTTGTTACAATTGTTAGTCGTTTATCTAATGATAGTTTATCCAAACAGATGGAACATTCATCAAGATAATCTGATATTTGTTCATTTTCATCAGTTTTTCTTAATGCTTGTCGAAGACGTTCACGAAGTATTTCAGTTTTACCTCCTGATTTTAAATTACGAGATTTTAATTCAACTTGTAATTGACGATAAGTTAATTTGTCAACATCACTTATAAGAAGCATTGATGATAAATTATTCTCCGATGACATTGAGAAAGTTCTAGAATTAAAAACAAAAACATTATTAATTAATTAATATGTAATAGTTCTATCAAATAATCATCTTCTAACGATAGAGGATCATTTTCTTATCTTGTCTTTGTATAGATATACTATTTATTCTGTATTTGTTTTTATCTATTCTACCCATAATGAATCATAGATTTATGTTCACACGAATCTATTCTATATCCAACGATGAAATATTTTAATGATATACCAATAATATTTTTATTTTTTAAAAAAGAAAAAAAACGAATTTTTTCTACAATACTATATCTAACAAAAAAAACTAGGAGAAGTTTTAATAAGATAATTTCAATCTTCATCAATTTGCCCCGATGGCATACTTTTAAATCTGAGTAAATTAGCTGCTGTATGAGCTTTCCATTGATTTAAAAAGAATGGAACTACTGGTGCTGATGCTGGTGGTGTAAGTGGTGTTGCAGTTACACTTGGTTTTCTTGCTTCATAATGATATTCCATTCCTGATAATTGTTTTTTAAATTTTCTTATTGATTCAATATATGCATCAAAAAATATTGTTATACGATTATTTAACGATTTTTCTGTATCAAGTAATTTTTTAATTCGATTTTGTACACTTAATAATTGTTCTTGTTCAACATGACGTTTTGAATCCATTAATGTTTCATCAAGAAGATTATCTTTACGTAATATTGATTTACCTTTTTCAAGTATTTTTGATAATGATTCAGGATAATTATCAAGTACAAGCCATAGATCTTCTTTTCGTAATGTATATAAATCTGAATAACCTAAAGATTTAACATTAGCGGTACGACGATTTCCATTTTTTGAACCTAAATAAACAATTTAAATCTTTATTAATTATTCAAAACGAAAATACCAGGAATATTTAAAATAGATATTTCACCAAAAACAGAACCTTCTTTTAAGACAACAAATGTCGTTTTTCCATCATCACTAACAACAGCTAATTGACCACGTTTTATAATATACATTTCTTTTCCAATATCTCCTTTTTGACAAACATAATCATCTGGACCATAAAAAATTGGTTTTAATTTTGTTACCTTAAAAATATAATATAGAATTTTGAAGAAAATCGATTTTATTATTTTACAAGTTCAACAAGTAAATTTGGTTCACAATCATTAAATAATTTAACTTGTTGTAATGATTCTAAATGTACTTTAATAGCAAGATCTTTACGTAATTCTCCACTTAAATCAGAATTTAAAACCATTTCTTCATTTAATACTTGTCGATTTGTATATAAATAATCAAGCCATTTTATAACTTTGGATTCAAGTTTTCGATTAACTGCACGAAATTTCATATAACGTTTGATTTCATCCATTTTTTCTCGAACTTGTTGTCCTAGACAAAGAAGAAAATTCGTTTCTTAAATATTTTCCTTTTTTTGATATACTTGATTGATTTTGTGATGATATCATAGTACCAAGACTACCAATTATAGTTGCAAATATAAGTATACCTATAAAGAACATTTCTAAAATTATCAACGTGAATAGTTTGTTTATACATTTCTCATTCACTACAAACATGAACTCTTTACGACTTGAGTTTGCCGATAGAAAATAATCATTTTCTACCACTTGACATCTTTAGTTCATTCATGCTTACTTCTCGATCTATTTTCCCTTGACTGGTTTTCCACTACAGAGTATAGGATATACTAATCTATTCAATAAGTCTCAACAACGAATAAATTCAAATCTATGTTATAATACGTGATGATTTTTTGTAAACATACCAATCATATAATCAAATAATACAAATACATATTCCGGTCTTTTCGTAGGCAATGGTACATCACCAATAGTACTTAATAAAAGTGTTGACCAATAAAAACAATAGGTATAAAGCATTAAAACTGTTTCATTTTTAGCTGAATTTGGTAATACCCATCTATCAGTACCAAAACCTAAATATTGACAAGTAAGTACATAAGCACAGCAATTCCTAGAAGAAAAAAAAGAATTTAATTATTCTTCTATTCAAATTAGACTTTTATATATATATTTACCAATGAATAAGTGTAAGTGTTAAACATACGAGACACCATATTCGAAATGCATTAGGAAATCTAGTACGTGATTCTGTTAATTCTTGAAATTCTAACAAACGGTTAATACGTAAAAATCGATTACAACGTATTATAGAAACAAAACGAAAGGATGGAATTAAATAAATAAGATCAGTTGGAATAATCGATAAAAGATCACGGAAATAAAATTCACGTGATGTAAAATATTTACGAGATAAAACATGATGATTACGAACAAAAAGACCATGACTAAAATAGCCTAAAAGGAAGAGAAACAAAAAAATTCTTCTCTTTTCTTCTCTATATATCTTATTCTTTATTTACCTGTTCTCGATTGTATAAAAATATCAATTAAATATACACTATCAAATATATAATCTAATGATATCCAAAGAATTTTCAATTGTTTATCCATATCTTTAAATGAATATCGAGCTGGTATTAATAAAAAATTATAAATAACAGCAAGTGAAATAATTCCAAGCCAATAATGATATATATAATTTTGTGGATCAATTACAAAACCAGTACTAAAATATGTACAATATATATCTAATTTATTGATTAAATTATAATCTACGCTTCAAAGTCTTCATTTCGAATAGGTGCTTCAGTATTTTTATTATGTTCTTGTAAAAGATTAGTTTGTTGTTCATCTTTATTCTTAGTTGTACAACAACTAGTAATAGGATGGAAAATACGTTTTCGAAATTTCTATTATAGATTTAAATAAAATTATTAATATGGAAGAATTTTTTTTCTTGAAATAAAACCTTTAATTTACTATTTGATGATGCAACGGCTTGCTCTTCTATATTCAACATAATCGCCTGGATGCGTCTTCTTGCTTGGATTAAATGTCAGTAAAAATGAAAAGAACTATATATGACGATGGCATTTCCGTAAGCTTATTTCTTCTTCTCTTTTTTTCTCTTCTTCTTTTCATTTATTATCACTAAGTGACTGAGATATGCATTTTTCTTCTTTTTTTCCAAGACAACGAATAAAGATATGCAAAATGTGTTAGTTATTTTTAAAATCATGCTGTTTATTTCTTTAAAGAAAAAAAAAAGATTAATAAAAAAAAAGATGAAAGAATGAAAATCTCTTCTAATCTAATTAAAATCACATTTTTGAACGTGTAAGCCAACTATGTTCCTAGAAATAAAATACAGGTGATGATTTGTCTATTAGAATAAATAAATTTACTTGTTGAACACGGCCTGATGATGGTTCAATAAATACATTGATAATTGATGGGCGAGTTTTTTCAGCTAATGCTGATTCTACACTTTTTTTCACTTCTTCTAATGAACGTGCTAAATAACCTTGACAACCAAAAGCACCAGCTATTCGTTCATAATTTGCTTGCATCAATGATGTTGGTGGTAAACTAGAAGATTAATTTTTATTTTCTTCAATTAAAAAATCAATCGATTAAAAAAATAAATTATACCTTAATGCTGCATTATTTTTAGCCATATCTTGGAATGCTTCTGGATCAACACCGGCATAAATACCACCATTATTAATTATAATAAATATAATTGGAAGATTATAACTTAATAGGCAAAAAGAAAAGAGAAAATAAATTTTATTTAATATTAATCTATCTTACCGAGCAGCTGTTTCAAATTCCATACCACTAAAACCAAAAGCACTATCACCTTCAACACATATTACACGTTTATTAGGTTCATGATCTTGACAATAAATTGCTGCTGCTACTGCAAAACCAGGACCAACTCCCATTGTACCTAAATATTTTTACATATTTTATCTTGAAAAAGAAAAATAATTATATAAATTTCATACCAAAAGTTCCTGCATCAAGTCGATGACGAGCTTTTGAATTCAATAACATTGTTCGTCCAATATCCATTGTATTAGCACCTTCACTTACTATTATTGCATCTTTTGGAATTATTGCTTGTATCTAAAAGTAAAAATATTCTAAAAGAATTCTTTAATGAAAAACAAAAGACATACTGCATTAAATGCTGAATAATAATTGAGCATAGAACTTTCTTTTGAATTAATAAGAGCCTAAAGAAAAAATATAGAAAATATGAGTAATTAGGAAAAAAAAGAAAATCTTCTTACTTCACTTCGTTGTTTATTTGCTGATAATTTCTTTTTAAGTAAACTCCACCATTGTGTTGATGTACTATATTTCCAACTAGTTTCCTTTTCATAGAGCTAATAACAAAGAAAAATTTATTTATTTATTTAATAATTCAATGAATAAGATTATTATATACTTGTTTTAATACTGTTTTAAGATCAGCTTGAATTGCTAATGCACTTTGAATATTATTATGTAATTCATTTGTATCATTATCAATCTATGTGTGTATATATATTAGAAAGAATGAATTAATTGAATGAAAAAAAGAGCATCTTTTTACTTGAATTATTTTCACATTTTGATCAAAACGAGGTGATTTACCAAAATGAAGCATCCAATTAAGACGTGCACCAAGTAAAATAATACAATCAGCTTCTTGTAATGCTGTTGAACGTGCTGCACCGACAGCTAATGGATGACGATCATCTAATGTACCTTTACCCATAGGTGTTGCAAGAAATGGTAAATTGTATTGTTCAATAAATTGTTTAGCCTCTTGTTCAGCAACACCATAAGAACAGCCTTATAATTAAAAATATATATGAAAGATTCATATATAAATATGTGTAATAATACCTTTTCCAACGATGACTAATGGTTTTTGACTTTGTTTAAGTAAACTGAAAAATTGTTGAAGTGATTCACTGCTAGCAGCAGGTCTTGGAGGTTCAAGATATTTTTTTACTTGTCTAAAAATAATTAAAAAGATATTTATTATCATATAATTATAAATATATGTATCTACTCGACTTGACTTGTGTTTATTGAGCCATTAACAAGATCCCCAGGTATATCAAGATAACTTACACCTGCAGGTGAATAGACAGTAGAACGAATTGCCTATCAAAGAAAATTTTTGTTATCTTTTTATATTAAACGTTCTATATTAATTTAAATTTTACTTTTTCAACAAAAAATGGTGCTCGATCAAGTGATGAAATACGTGCAGCATATTTTGAATAGAGTCGTGCTGATTCAACCTGAAAATAAAAAGCAAATATTATTATCTGTAACTAATATTTATATAATTATATACTTGTGGAAATTCTTGAAATGCACCCATTGATTCTTGTGGTTGATCAGAAGATCCAGCTATAACTAGCATTGGCCTATATAAACATATATATCTATGTATATAATTTATTGATTGTAAATCTTATATTTACCATTTATTAACTTGAGAATTTGCCATACCACCTAGAGCATGAATAAGACCAGGTCCAGATACTGTTAAACATACACCTGGTCTATTATATAAATAATGAGTATACAATTTTGGAATACATACTAATTTTAATTTTACTTACTTTCCTGTCAAATAACCAATAGCTGATGCTGCATAAGATGCCTATAGTAATATACAAAGTTGATATGAAGTTTTCTAAGATTTTTGTTTTTCTATAAATACCGCTTGTTCATTACGCATTCCAATGTATTTAATTTGCGCTTGTTGAGCAGCAAATGCAATTTCAATAATTGGAATACCAACCACACCAAATATATATTCAACACCCTAAAATTATTCAAACGTATAGAACTTATTACAAGCATAAATCACATTTTTTCGCGAATATGACAATTCATAAAACGTTTTCTAATATTTTATTTACTTGTTTCTTCAATGCATCGGCAATAAGTTGAGCACCGGTAACTTCAGTATCCTCTGATGAAGTTCCAGAAGCACCACCGGCAGAAGTTTTTGGAGCAGATGTCATTACCTATATTTATTTATATAAAAATAAAAGTACATTTATTTTATGTTAAATAAAGTAATCTTTTTTACAGATATGAAAGAACTGCTTAAAGTATTTTTAGCCAATAGTTTATGTCTAACTTGACGAAAAATGGTTGAATACATTTTATCTACAAAGAAAAAAACACGTGTATGTTTTTTTTTCAGTCAACAAAGAAAAAAAGAAAGTATAACAAGAACAAAATAAATTTTTGCGAGTTTAAATAATGGACATGCATAGAGATATCATCTCTGGAACAACAACCAATATAAATTTACACAGATATTTTGATATTCGATAGATCAAAACAAACAAAAAAAAGACTTCGTCAAGTTTATTTAAATTTGCTTGATTAAATTTTCTAAGATTAAACAACAGACAATACAATTGCCTAACAATATTCACATAGATATCATTCATAATATAAATAAATAATATATTAAAGATTTGTTGGTATTGTATAAATATTTTTTGTTATATTCACCGGTGTTGTTGTTGAATTATATTCATTATCTATTATTTGTTGATTTGGTATAAGATTAGATATTTTTTGTATATTAATTGTTTCTAAAGATGTATAATCACGTGTAATAACCATTGAAGCATATTCAAGTTCCATTTCACTTGATAAATCTAAGATACTTAAAACTTTTTCAATTGAAAATTGTAATGGTAAATATTCCGATAATTGTGCAACCTTTTTTAGATGTAATAAAATAATTTAGAAAAAAATCTCTTATAAAACATACTAGTTTTGGTTTAATAAATGGTTTAAGTGATTTTACAGTTCGACTAAACATCCAAAGAATAGTTTGTAACCAACCAAGAAAATAATTAACTGGCCGAGAATTATCACTTAGAAAAAGTTCTTTTGATGACCAATCTAAAAATTCATGATAAGCATTCGTTACACTTTTATCTTCATATTTTGGTAGAATATCATCAACACGATCATCGATTGTATCAAATAACATTGAATCATTTGATTGATAAAATTTTTTCCATGGTTTGATATGAAATAAATCTTCTAATTGATTATCATTGGTATTTAATTCTAATACTAATAATATATTCAATACTAAACACATATTATAAACATTTGGTTCAAGCATAAATTCATTGGATTTTATATTTATTAAATAAGGTATAACTTGTTGTAAAAGACAACGTGTGGATGATCGTCGTCGAAATAATATTAAGCCAAATAAAAAATAAAGTCCACGACGTGTTTCATAGATACCATTTGATGTATTTAAATTTGTTAATAAACGTGTCATTATTAAATCAGATGGAACATATTTTAAACAAGTATATAAACAACGTGATTGTTCACAATTAAAAAATTCTGTTGTTACATAGATATCAAATAATGTTAGAATTAATGTTGTAGCTGTTTGAGGTGATGAAGATGTATAATTATTAGCTAAAGATGATGATGATGATAATGGTAGAAGACTATAATATGGTAGTAAAGGATTATCAATAAAATCTGACCATAATTGACGTTTTATAGCATCAAGTAATGTAGCAGTTGTTGATGATGGATCAACAGATGTACCTATGAAAAAAATTTATTATTATTCATGCAAAAGAAGTTTCAAACTAATAATTATACACGTGTAACTTCATTCATAGAAATTTGACTTTTAATTGCAAAGGATAAAATTAGTATTCTGAATGGTTTATTTCGGCTAGATACATTTATTATTTTCTAATATTATTCAAATACTTATTTTACCTGATCAGGTAATAAGATAAGCGAAGGGTTATACTTATCTTTTCATTGGATAGAATATGACAGGAGAAGAAAAACAAAGAGGAAAACGATGAAACCAAAGAAATGGTATAGTAATAGTGATATAGTGAACATTCTATTAATATTATATATTTTTTTTATAAAATAAAATTACCCATTGAACTAATGACAGTTTGAATCCATGATCTTTCTTCATCATTAGCTATTTGATAATTCGCAATAAGCCAAAGTAATACATGTACTAATGAACCATATGAAACTTGCGTTAAATATGTAATTAATGATGATACAGTTTGTTTTGTTTCATCTAACGATAATGATGGCAGTTCACCAAGTAAATTAATTGTTTTTGTTAAATAATCAATGTTAGAATATTTTATTTGAATATTTTCATTCGTTGATGTTTTTATTTCATTTAAAAATTCCTCTTTTTCTGTTGATGATGTTTCACCAAATGAATTATTTATTGTTGATAATAAATCAATTGAATCAAGTGATGATGAAAATAATGCATGACCTAAATCACGTGATAACCAATATTTTTTTAACCATATATAAATACAAAATGATGTTGATGTTTTATCATAATTAACATCTAATTGTCCAAAATCTTCTGATATATCACCTGTTATTGATGTTATATAACAAAGTATTAATAAAGCAAGATCAAAATTTGTTTCTGTATATGTTAAAAGTAAACGAATAAATGGATAATATTGATCAATAGCACATATTAATGGAATAATATCAGTTAGATTATTAATTAATAATTGTAAATTTTCGTCGCTATTTACTGAAAATATTTTATTTAATGATTGTTCAAGTGAACGTTGTAATTGAAGAATTTGATACGAATACGAATCTAAAGTAAATTAATTATATATATATAGGATGACTTAAAATTGACTATTTTCATGTTTTATACACGAAATATTTTAGAAATACTCAGTATCATTCGAAACTAGAAACACAGCATGATTATTTAGTTTTTTCTTTCTCGAATATCAACACCTTCGAAGGAAACTTCAGTATCATTTGTCGTACTATATCCGAATCGCTCACGATCTGTAAAATAAGAACGAATCATTTCAACTAACGTGTATGTTGCGGATTTGAATAATATTGTTTAATTTGATCAACATATGCTCCACGAACTTTTTGTGTATAAAAAATCAATTGATTTATTTGTGTTTGATGTTTATCTCGTATTTCATTTTTTGTATAATTTAATGTTTTTTGTAAGATTTGTTCTAAAACATTTTCTACACATAATTCATCCATTCGATTTAATAAATATTCATTATGTAAAAGAAAATTTTCTGTTGCTTGTTTAACACTTTCAAATTGTGATTCAATACATGATGCTAATAAACGTGGTAATTGAAAAAATATATAAGCTGACCAACGTTGTTGATATTCACTATTATTTGTTGATATTGCTGCAACATAACCACCAAATGATGCTTGTAAAAGACGAAGATAAAGTATTGATGGATTTGTCATTGCTGAAACATTTTCATAAAATCGAAGAATAATTAATAGAATAGAAGATGATTTATGTAGTTGATTTATTACAAGTATAGAAACAATTGGATTAAATATACATGAATTCATTTCAATATCTTCTTGATGAAAATCTTCAGATAAATGAAGACGAGTTATTCTATAAAGAAATTAAAAGAATAGAAAAATAATTCGAAAAAATTGATTCTTACTTAGAAAGAACTTGTTCATAAACATCTAGTCTTGTTTCATTTCCTATTGTCATTTTAATTGTAATTTGATTTAATCGTTCTTGTAATTGTCTCCATTCAGGTTGATCTTTTTGTGCTTTTATTGTCATTAACCAAAGACAATAATATGTTGTATTTGTAAATAATACAAGAAATAAATTTGAAACAGTTATAAGCATTTCTTTTCCTGTTGATGTTATTGGTTCTTCATTTGAATAAATACATAATGCTGAACAAAGCCATTTGGCAAGTAAATTTATTTGTTTACCAAGACGTGATGCTTGTTCTGCAGTAACATGCATTGTTTTCAATGTATCAGATAATAATTCAAGTAGAAATTTAATTTGTATATCTTCGACGATTGTTGATGATGATGGTGTTAAAGAAAGTAGATGTTCAATAATTAATGATTCTTTAACATAACCAGATCTTGTATGAAATTTAAAATAGGATTGAAGAAGATTTGATGAAGTTACTGAATCAATATGTGCAAGAATTTGTTCTAGAAATTTCAAAGATTGATTAATATGAAGAATAAAATTATATTTTACTTGTAAATAATATTCGAAATTCTTCTTCTGATCGACATTGAGCAATTAATGGTGAAAGTGATGCTGAAAAACTTGTTTCATCTGAACGAAGTTTCCATGCTTCAATTAATTTTTCTTGTAGGGTATTTGCATCTAACACCATATTACAGAAATTAATTAAAACAATAATCTATAAAGAACATATTTTTCTTTTATAATAATTTCGTTCGTTTTAAAAAAAATTTAAATCTAAATTTATTTTTCGTGTCAAAATTTTCAAATAAATTTTTTTTCTTTCATTTGATGAGTAATTCATAATAATAATATTGAATGGTAGGTTTCTCCAATCAGTCATTCTCTAATGAGAACAATAGATGGAGGTAAATGTCCTTGCTTATTTTTTCGATTTTAAGTCAATACGAAAGATAAAATCAAAGTAAAATAACAGGTACTTTTTCTATTCGTATATTATTTCGTTTTTTTTCTTATCTTGTCTGAAACAGAAATGTCTGCAGCTCCTGAACAAGCAACTAAACCAAGTGGTGACTGGTCTCGATTATTACCGAATAAAGTCGTTATCGTTACCGGTGCTGGAGGTGGTATTGGTTCTGCAATCGCACATACATGTGTATTACATGGAGCACGTGTTGTAGTAGCTGATATTAATAAAAAAGCAGCTGATGAAGTTGTAACAAAAATTATTAGTGAAGATGAAACAAAAAAAGATTTCGTTATTGCAATAGAACTTGATGTAACTGATGAACAAGCTATACAAAATGCAGTAAAATCTGTTGTTGACAAATGGAATACAGTTGATATTCTTGTTAATAAGTAAATTAGTTAATAAAATAAATATAATAGATTATTTGATTTTCCTTTTATTTTCTAGTGCTGCTATTTTTACATTAAGCTCAGTTGAAAATACATCAGCAGAAGCATGGACGAATATATTGAATGTTAATGTACGTGGTTATGCTCTTATGGCTAAAGCAGTTGTTCCTCATTTAAAAAAACAACGATCAGGTTCAATAATTCAACTTGCTAGTATAAGTAGTTGGATTGCACAACCAGATTTTGTACCTTATAGTACAACAAAAGGTGCTGTTCTACAAATGACACGTAATTTAGCACTTGATTTAGGTCCATTTAATATTCGATGTAATGCTATTTGTCCTGGAACTATAGTTACATCAGCTACAACTAATCATGCTGCTAATTTAAAATTAACAATGGATGAATTTGTTACACAAGAAACGAAAAAACAATGTTTAAAACGATTAGGTTCACCTCAAGAAATAGCGAATTTTATTGTTTTTCTTGCTTCAGATTTATGTCATTTTGCAACAGGAGCTAGCTTTTTAGTTGATGGAGGTTATACGACTATTTAAAATAAAAAAAAACGTTTTTTATTTATCTTAAATTAGCTTTAGTTAACCATTAATTTCATTTTAAACAGTAGAATACGTTCGATTAAAATAAAAATAAATTAACCCTTTAAGTACCATAGCTCAGCCAATGGATGAAACTTTGTTAGGACTTTATTTCTAACATGTATATTGTATGTTGTGAATATTTTCATTGAAAATTTTTAAAAAACTTTCGAAGTCATTTTCGATCAATACCCGTACCCCCTTACGGCACGGTGGTACTTGAAGGATTATTAAAATGATAAATACCGCGCGAATACAAGCACCTACATGTCCCCTATGCCACAATGACAAGTGCACTTCGATATTGTTTCGCATTCGCAATTTATTCAGAATTTGTCAAATTTTAAAGAGTGGGGCTTATAGGCCCCGTTGGTACTTAAAGGGTTAATTATTGTATTTTTTTTGTTTCAGTTGTAGTATAATTATTAAATTTAAACTAAAAATAAATAATTATACCCAGTATATTTCATTTCTATCGTTATAGATATATACATATACGTGTGAACAGATTTCAGTACAATAATTCAGTGCAAAATATCCATGTTTCAAAGTGGTTATAGTTGATGTTGAGACATATATCTATTTTTTAATTGTCATGACACTTATCAATTGTTGATATAAGCAAATAGTAGTCTATTTTGTTATTCTGAAAAAACAAGTCTAAAGTCTTTAAGAGAAATAAACACAACGAAACAACGTGCTTAATAATATATTACACAACAGCTAAAAGACAAAGATAAAGAATAAAAGCAATATTTTATCATATATATATATAACAAACAGTGATTCAACTTAGGATAGTCAAGAAATCAATCGGTTCGGAGCATTCAATCATATTGATGATTGTGAACAATATATTCACTAAAATATTCAAGAAAAAATAATTTTTATTGTACCAAACTTCTTATAACGACACATTGTTTCTTAACTTCATAATATATCATAGTTCATAGCATGCTATGTGTTTTGTCAAGATAAAATATTATTATTTTATTACTGTATGATGCTACAACATAGGTTAGTGATCTTTTCATACAAAGTTTGGAACTTGTTGGTCAGATATCTAGAGAACAAATTTTTCAAATAAAAACAGAAGATGATTTTTCAGTTTCAATTGTCTATTGAAATATTTCTCTATACGTATCATAAATCGAACGACCTTCAAGAACTTATTCAGATTTATGGAAAATAATTATTGTAATAATTGTCAACAGATGAAAATTATTGACGCGTTTGAAAATAATTATAATGCAAACAATGCAATTCCATGGTATCTACGTGAAGTATATCTTTATCGAACGTTTATAAGATCTTAACATGTTATTTATATTTCGATTTAAAAGAAATATTTTCTCATATGAAGAAAAAAATTGTCGATAGTACTAATTTGAATTATCTCAAAAATTCTTTTATTTAGAATGTTCGAAATGATTACCAATAAACGAAGCAATTTTTCTATTATTATAATATATAGATTAGTTAGTATTCATTGTTGAAGGTCATATCTTGTTTATAAAAAAGAGCCGAGATTACTAATAAAATATAAAATATTTATATATTCCTTTGAATTTAATTTAGAAAATTATCGTAATACATCCTTTACAAAATCTTGTTTGTATATATCCTAAAAAGTTTGTTGCTTCCGTTTTTATAAAAAAAAGAAGCAAATTCTTAACGACAGACTAGTCTCATCTTATGTCAGATCTCATTATATTTTTCTTCTAGAGTATAACTAATCTTTTGTATTCACAATACATGTTGACAATAGTTATATCAAAATATAATTATGTATTGCTAATCTTATTGTTACAAATTTCTCTTCATTACTGACTACTTCCTGTCGTTCTCTTCAATAACAATAATCAAGCAAATAAGTCCGATCAAAGTGTCGTTCAAATACTATAAATGTTTACTTCTGTCATGTCAAAAATAGAGCTACTTGTTCTTATTCATATTTTTGACATATAATTAATGTTCTTGAAAGAGACATGAATAAACTAAAGACAAAAATGTTAGATAAATTTCTATCTGATCTTTTAACATTAATTTAGGTATGATTAATATTTTTATTATAAAATTAACCTATAAAATTTTTTAAGTTTTCATCCTATGCAAAACTATTCGTTTTTTTTGCACGAAAAAGAAATGAAGTACTTATTCTTTCTCAAGAATACTCATGAATGTAAATAGCAAACTTTAGTCGACATTAAAATTGTCTCGAGGAATGTTTTTAGAAAAGAAGACAAATTTATTTACGAAACATATTTTGATGCTGAGAGCAAAATATATTATAAAAGTACTTTTGAAGAAAAAAACTATGTTAATGCATCTGTTGTAGCTACTCATCGTGTTATAATTCTCTGAAAAGATCTATTCTTGTTCTATTTTTAAGAAATATAAATAATAAAAAAAGAGTTTCGTATGAAATATATGTTGAAGAAAACGTATAAATGCATTTCTTTCTTCTACAAATGCACATGGATACATAATTGCACTCAGAATTTGTATCATTATCTAACTTCAAAATGTTGAAAATTTTTATTATTATTAACGGAGAAAAATCAGTAGTAAACTTAGTAAAAGAAAGAGAAAAACATATAATCATAAGTCTACTAAATCATGTTAGAAAAGACTTTGTAATATAAATATAAGAAAATATTGTACAAGAGCAACTATCGTTGCATTTATGTCTGTTACTATTCAAGTATTTGGTATATTTTTGTTGTTTTGTATAAGTGTTTTTCTCAGTGTTGGTAGAAGACTTCGTGGAGCTTCTACAATCGTAGTTTCATGTATAACTTCTGTAACATTACGAGGTATAGGACCATAATGGATCATAGCTGTACGTATATCATCAGCTGGATCTATGTGTGTTCCACTTATAACATCACTAATTTTTAATTTAGATTGTGGACCACGTTTTGATTCATGAATAGTTTTACTAGTTTTCGATGGAGCTTTAATTTTATTTGATGGTTCACTGCTATTCTTAATAGGATTTGGTTGAGTATTTTTCGTTTTGTACGACTCATCTAACACTATAGGTAGCTCCGGAGAGATTGGTGAAGAAGCATGAACTTGATGAGAACGATGTGAACCTGGAAGATATGTACGATGATGACGACGATGACTACGACCATGTCCATGACTATGTTCATGATCATGATCATGACCATGGTCATGATTATGATGATGTTCATGATTATGTCCATGATCATGATGATGAGAAATATGAGAATGTTGATGATGAAGATGTGGATAATAAGCATAAGGTGGTGGATACGAATAAAGATGAGAAGCATGATTGCCAGATGGTTGTTGAAGTGTAAGTGATTGAGGTTGTCCTCCATCGTTCACTTTTTGACGAATATTACTTGAATTTATTGCTTCATCATCACTTTCTTTAACTTGAAATACTCTATATACTACAGCTTCTTCAAGATATAATCTCGTTCCATCGATCCAACAATCAACAAAAATAATAATGAAAGTAATAAGCGCTAAAACACCGGCACCAATAATACCATATAATTTAATGATTTTGTCTGTTGTTGAGTCTATTCATTTGAAAATAGAACAATTAAAAACTGAAAAAAAATATCAAATAACTCACCATTAATAAAGAAGAGTATTGACAAAACAAGAGCTACAAAAGCAATAACTAATAATAAACAAGTACCAATGTACCAGATAATTGTTGAAGCTATAATGATAATAAAAGAATTATTTGAATATAATTTCAGCAATAATTCAAACAAGATCTTATCAATCTCATGAAATTCTCTTACGTGTAATAGGTCCACAACAGTCTCGCAAACGAGATCGTTCAGTTGGAGTCTATTTTAGGAAATAAAGATAAAATCTATATTAATATAGAATAAAATATTTTCATATTCAATCACCATTGGTGGTGAAGATTCAAGTATTTCATTTATCTCTCGAGCATCATCTTTTGTAGTTCCCATTGGTGTTTGTCGTCGTTCCAATGGTTGCTCATCCGTAGCTTTCTGAGCAATAATATCATTAAGTAATTTTTTAATATTACTTGCACTTTGTTGATTTCCTTGTCTCGGATTATTCATACTATATATGATATCATTTTAGTAAAACTTTTTGTATCAGAAACGAAATAATAATTTACCTGCTAGTGCTTGGTATATCAATTTTTTGATTACTACACGATTACTTTTACTTTATAAACTGTTTATTTCAAAAAAAATTTTGTATGTAGAAAAGAAATGAAAATAGAAACAAGACAGACAGACAGAACAAAAACGACGAGAGACAATGCAAATATTTTTTATCCTTTGAGGACATAAGAGCAAAACATTAAAATGAAAAAATAAACAAACGACGAAAAAAGAAATTAATTGTTAAAAAAGCTTTTTTTAATTCATAGCTTATATATATATGTATGCACTATACGCCCAAATATTTTAGATTTAGTTTGATCCACTCTATGTAAATAAATTATGTAGATTTCATTGATTGAATCAAAATAAAGAATATTAAATGATTATAATAATATACTTTTTTTTCTTCTTACATTTGTATAACATTAAATATAAATATATATATATCCTAGTTATAACATCTATTATAGTCATATCTAATAACAAAAATAATAATAAAGACATAAACAAATTCTTTTCTTTTATGAGAACAAAAAGATAGAAGAATTGATGCATTCATATTTCTATATAATATAAAAATATGTACTGGTTTTCTCTCGTCTATCAATATTACTAAGAAATAAATTTGTCGTAAGCAATCCAATTAATCTATAGAAGATCTTATCATTAATCACTTCAATATAATGTTAAGATATTCTAACTTTTTATTTTCCTTAGCTTCCTGGCGATAAAGTTTAAGATAGTAGTATTGATATAAATGTACTATGTAGTCAATCTCAACATTTTTTGTTGAGTTGTTGATGAATTTTTAAGATAATCTAAAGAACAAAAAAGGATGGGCACTTGTACTTCTCTCTAATGCAAATGAATATCTACAATATAATATGATAATTATATCAGCATTATCAACTGTCGCGGTTGCATTCTCTCGTTTTTCGGCCATGTCGCTTCTTATGTGAGCCATCAAGTGACATGCATATAGACAATTGTTCTCAGTTCTTTTCTTTTCTATTTTCTTGATGATAGATGTTCGAGGCATTACTTACTACCAGAAGCATCAATTGCCGTTTCTATTTGTCTATCTATCTATCTACATATATGTATGTGTGTGTGTATATATTTTATATATTCATTTTCTTAGATTTGATCGATTACAATTAATAAGAGCAATGACAATACCATCTTATCTTATCATATTGTTGTTTATCATTATAAATCCTTTTTCTTGTATTGATCTTAAACTAAATCGTGTCACATCTTCAAATATGACATGTGTGACTATTCCATTAGCATCATTATCATCAAGAAGTGATGATAAATTTTCTCAATTAAAACTTTTTTCTTCACCACAAATCAGTTCTAATCTTACAACAGCAACATGTACAAAATTTGATATGTAAACATACTCTTTTTTTTCTAATTCTATTTAAAATAATAATAAAAAAAATCGAATTTTTTTCTTTCTAATTTAAGACGATCTGCATATAATATGTATGCACAATCAATTGATGCATTAATTGGAAGTCTTTGTTCAATTTTACAAATCCAGCCGATGTTAGTAATATATTTAAATGATTATATAAATGAAAATCATGCATCATCAGCTGCTTATTTATTTTTTCTTAAACTTTTTACATTATTAGACTATCCGTTATTAACATTTCATTTTTTTCATCCATTTCATCCTGGAGTATGTCAAGATTGATTTATTAAACTATGATATATTATCTATCATTTGTCTAGAGTTTTCCTCAATTACGTTTCTTTCAATTAGCACCAACTTATCGAGAAGAAGCTCGAGCATTAATATCCTTAATGGAAAGATATGATTGGAATGCATTCTCATTAATTATTGATCCACATTTACCTGGTGAAGAAGAACTTATAACAGAATTTGAAGAACATAGTAGTGAACAACGAAATTGGTAAGAATTATTTTCTTATTTTTTGATTAACAAAAAAAAGGGAATTTATTTTTTTTTGTAGCAGAAAAAATTCATGTAATCGTAATCATCGCAAAGGTCAAAAAAAGTATGTAGAGAATTATCTAAAAGTTCAATCTAATTTTTCCGATTGGATTTTGCCGAATAGCAATATTTCGCCGTACGTGCATGACATTTGTTGACTAGTAGACTGGAAAAGATTAAATTAAAGAGTTATAGAAAATGAATAAATAACGCTCGTCGAAAGACTCGCTCAACTCTTTCTCGTAAAAATCACGTTACTAAACAACTACCAAGATATTGATTTAAATTATTAAACAAAAAAGAAGTCAGATTTGAATTCTTCAACTCCGGTTACCGTTCAGTCAACCTTTATAAAAAAAATTTCAAAAAATTAACGTCAGATTCGAGTTTTACCAAAAAGGATCCCTTTTGTTTCGACCAATGTATGAAGTGCGGACATACAACCAAGAAAGCAAACAATTTATTTTTGCTAGACTCTGCTCTACGAGACAGAGAATATAAATTCTTAAGATTTATGAAAATCTGCTCAGTAGCTAATATTTTCTTTGTTTTGTTTTATCAAAAATACAAAAAAGAAGATCTATTATTATGAATACATTCAATTTAATAATTAAATTTCTTATTTTTTCTAAATAGACTTACAATTCTTTCAATTATTCGTATGAGAAGTATTAATCCAATACATATTAAACAACAATTATCGATGTTAAACCCAGAAACACGTGTAATAATTGTTCATACAACATCGTAAGTTGAATGTTTTTATTCATTTAAATTTTATTAATATTCTTTTTCCTCTAATTTCTATATAATAAGAACGATTGCATCAATTATTGTCAAACAAGCAAGTAATATGAGTCTCACGGGACCAGAATATATGTGGATTATGTCATCAATTGTTCTATGTAATTTTTCATAATAATATAAATAATTATCTTTATTTTTAAAAGAAATATTTTTCAGCTACATATAGTAGTGGTAGTGAACCAAAAATGAATCCATATAATAATTTTAATCGACGAAAAATGGATTTTTTTACTGGTACATTAGGTTCGTTTGTTTTTATATTATTATTATTTATTCGTTTGAATATTTGTTTTGTATTTTTAGCTTTATATAGTGATGTTACTCGAGGTAGAATTCTTTTATAATATTCTAGTTCTCTATTAAATCAATTTTTAGATTCTGTTCTTGCTCGTTTTGATAAAAATATTGGACCTATAATAGCGAATGTGTTTTCTAAAATAACACATCTAAATGTAATACAAGAACAATATGTGAATGCAACAGTATTTCGACGTTATTCATCACGTGATCGATTAGTATGTGCTCGATTATTTTCTAATAATAGATCATTGAATCATCAATCTTCAAAACATATATATCCTGATCTTTACAAGTAAATCGGAAAAAAATTTTTTGAATTGATTTCTATTTGAATTTATTTAGTTTATTTAAACATGAATTTAAACGAGCTTATGGAATATTTCAACAAGATGGTTTAGCAGTGGCAGCGAATTATTCTGTATTAAATTTTCAAACACCAAATAAAGAATGGAAAACAGTAAAAATTTCCATGTATTTTTTTCATTCATGAAATTTTTGTTGAAAAGGTTGGGAAATATGAAAATAGTACACTCACAATAGATGATATTCAATGGCCAGGCGAACGATCAAAACCACCACCAGGCAAACCTATTATCTATTATTTGAGAGTAGTAACACTTCAAGAATATCCATTTGTAATGCTCAAAAATCCATTTCCCGATGGAAAATGTCAACCTGGTTCAGTTATTTGTCGAGTTGGACCCGAAAACTCGTAAGAAAATTCTATTTTATCAATATAATCTTATTATTCATCATAAACAGATTAATTTCTTCTCTAAAGGATAAAAAAAACAAAATCTTAGCTTTTTTTCGTTTTCAATATTTTTCAGTGGTGCTAATCATAGTGATCATCTACAATATCAATGTTGTTCAGGATTTTATATTGACATATTTAATATACTTAAAGATCGGCTGAAATTTGAATTTGAACTTTATCAAGTTTTGGATCGAACATGGGGTGCAAGAAATCCATTAACAGTATTTCATATTAAAAAAAAAATTATTTTTAATAGAATTAATATTTTTTTCAGAATAAATGGAATGGTCTTGTTGCTGAACTTCTTGAAAATCGAGCAGATCTTACATTAACTTCATTGAAAGTAACGACGGAACGAAATGCAGCTATGGATTTTAGTATTCCACTTATGGAAACGGGTATTGCTGTTATTGTTTCGTTGAGACCAGGTGCTATATCAACAACAGCTTTTTTAAGTAACCAAACATTTGAAATAATATATAAACAACAAATTTTTTTCTTGTGTTTCTTTTATAGAACCGTATGATTATCGTATTTGGGTTCTTATTCTATTAGTTAGTCTTCATGGCGTTGCTATCATGGTTTTTGTATTTGAATATATCGAACAAACATGCACAAGTTTTAATGTCAATAAAGTATGTTAATTAGAATAATGATATTTTTACGTCATTCTTGTTTTTTTTTCGAACTATAGAATGAGAAAAACAAAAAGACAAAATATAAACAGATGGTTCGACACATAAGTGACTTTATACAACCACAAAAAAAGAAAAGTTTGAATTTAAAAATTTTTTTACTCTACATGAGAAACAATATTAATATTATTTAGAACTTAATGTAACATTTTTTCAATCTGTATGGCTTAGTTGGGTTATTCTATTTCGAGCGCCAGCTAAAGTAAATAATCCAAAAAGTTTTACATCAAAATTTATGGCGAATATTTGGGCTTGTTTTTGTTTGGCATTTACAGCTAGTTATACAGCTAATTTGGGTTTCTAATAAAATATATTTATTTAGTTTTAAATAAAAATGTTTTATATGTATATTGTAGCTGCATTTATGATTACAAAAGAAGAATACTTTGATCTGTCGGGTATTAATGATATTCGAGTATGTTTTTTTTACAATAGAAAGTTGTATTGATCATCATATGAACGATTTTATTAATTTTAGCTTGCCAATCCTCATTCAATGAAACCATCATTTCGTTTTGGGACTATTGCTAACGGAGTAATATAGATAGTTTTATTTGTTTTATTTTCTCTAGACAATTCTAATCTTTAATGAACAATTATATTATCATAGGAATAAATACACATTTACATTTTAATTCTTTTGGGACGAGGTTTTTTCTTCTCAAAAATTATAAGACATAAAAGTTTATAGAATCGGTTGATTTCTCTATATCAAAAACGTTAAAAGAGAAAAGTTGAATAGTATACATTAGTCATAAATAGTACATTTATTGGGATATTAGAAAATTGTTATAGAAATCTAAATCTAGACGAAATTTTACAATTGATATATGCATTAAATAAATAAACAACCGATGTTATGTCCTTTCCAAATACTTGATGTACCAGTATGATAGACATCTGTTATATAACAAATATAATTGTTAGATATACATTCTTTTATCAAAAATCGATAATGAGATAAAATATACGCGTACTATCCAAAATATTTTGGATTGACCTTATCAGAAAACTGTACAAAGTATTTTTGTATTAATATTCTTTTCTATGTGTAGTTGCCTATTATTGATCACACAAAATGCTTTGAATCATACATTTGATATGCTACTAAATATTGAGTATTTGCCTCATGATGTTTTCTCATTAAATTAGTTAGATTAGTCTATTGATGATATAAAAATGTTTTTGTTTTAAAATATTTAGAGCACCGATGAAGTAATGAAAACAAATCATAAAAGAGTATATTCATATATGAAACAATTTTTAAAGAAAAATATATCTGAAGGAATCAAAGCTGTTAAAGCTGGGTAAGTAAAAAATAAATTTTGGTTTTTTGTGTTTTCAAAAATTTCGAATATTTATTTTTATTTTTAGAGAATTACATGCATTTATATATGATGCAGTTGTTCTTGATTATCTAAGTGGACAAGATGATGGATGTAAATTACGTGTAGTTGGAAATTGGTATGCAATGTCTGGTTATGGTATCGGATTTCCAAAACAATCAAAATTTAAAGATATGATTAATAGAGAAATTATTGATATGCATTATTCTGGTTTGAAAAGCTTTTTTTATATTAGAAGGAATTTAATTCTTGTTTTAGGTGAAATTGAACGTCTTCGACGATTTTGGTTTACAGGTAATACAATTTTCTTGAAATAAAACATAGAATATATTTTTTTCATAATAGGAGCTTGTAAATCTGGTATCGATCAGCAATCACAACGAAGTAGTCAGCCTCTTGAAGTAAATTTTCTTTTTAAATATTATATTCGTTATTTTATGACGTTTTGTTTTTTCAGACATTAAATTTCATCTCCGCATTTTTACTACTTTTTGGTGGAACTCTTCTTGCCGCTATTATTCTTCTTTGTGAAAATGCATATGCGCGTTTTATCGCTCGATCTAAAACTGAAGACATAGAGAGAGAAAAGAAACAGGTAAATTACTTAGTTTTCATTATAAATTGATTTTATTTCTTTTGTAATATTATACAATATTTATAGAATTGTATGGAATATGAACCAATGTTAACATTTGACCAAAATATGAAGCCTAATCGACGTGAGAAAGTGTTAGAACTGCATATTGACAAATTGCACAAACGTATTCATGAATTAGAACAAAATGCATCGACAGGAAATTTTTGGCAAAGGAACGATGCAAAAACGGCCAAGATAAGAAAGCCAGATTTTTTGGTGCTACCAGTAACTTATAGTCCTGACGAAGATTACTCACCTAAGCTAGAAATTGTACCATATTCGTCGATAGATCAATACAATACATCACTAATTCAGGTCGAACAACTGAGACATAAAATATTTGAAACAGTTGTTTAATTGCAGCTTTTTAGAATTTAATAAAAAAATTATAAAAACTTTCGCATATACAATTTTAAAGTTTTGTACTATCAACAATATATGCAGGGTGGATGTGGACTAGGTTGTATCTTCCGTTAATCCACACTCACCCTCGGGAAAAAATATATAGTGCAAAGAATGACGATAATGAATTATCGTAGAAATGTGTAAGAGAATAATAATAATGACCAATGATCGATATATCTATAAATGTTTTCTTAATACTTTCAATAATTTATTTTTATAGATCATCTCAATTAGAAAATACATTATGTAAAATAAATCATTTTTTTCTTCATTTTCGATGCAAGTATAAATACTCAACCATTTTTTTTTGCAATAAATTTCCATATGATTTGCACTTTCTCTTCGTTTTCAATCATCATACTCGAATAATTAAATCAGAAGAACTTTGTATAAATAACTTGCATTATATTACTTCTTCTCATGTTATATACATATAGATGATATAAGTACAACTATAGTTTCTATTGATAATTACTTATAGAACATCACCAGTGCCTACATTTAAACTATGATATATTATTCTTTTCTAGTCAAGAAAGAATCATGAATAGATTTCTTCAACACTTTTTGCTTACAAGCGACCTCCGTCGACACTTTAACATTTGTATAAAATCTCAAATGTGTTCGTTGTCACACATTACCAATCATTCTTTTCTTTACACTTACGTCAATCGATAAGGTTTTTCTTCTTCACATTCTTTTGAAATCATGTTCATTTTTTCTTTGTCCTTGTAGAATAATACTTAAATAATCTCTTCTTTAAAAATTGATATTGATTGCTATAAATTATTTATCTAATTATTTGTTAATCATTATTTTGTCTTATCAAAATTATAGTAGTTTCTTCTTGAAACAATTGAATCAATCTGCACATTTAAGGATGTCACAAAAAAAAAAGAGAACAATAGAAATCATTTTTTTTCAACATAGGACAGCTGCATTCTATTCATATGTTAATTCATACCATTGTGTTATACTATTTTCTTCATAACATTGCAAATTTTGTTTTGTATATAGATGCTCTTCGTGATCATTTTCTTTACTTTACTTTTAATCTCGATATATTCATATACTCAACTGATTAATTAGTAAACTTTTAGATGTCTTCATCAAATTCATGGCATGCACTCGAATCAGATCCTGATTTATGGCGTGTCTATATGGATAAATTAGGTGTAGATATCAATTCATTTGATTTTATTGAAATTTATACATTAGATGAAGATTATCCACCGGATGAAGCAATATATTCTTTTATTTTTCTTTATCCTGATAGTGGTTCATCATCGCCTAAATTACAAGTATCACAATCTTTACCTATTGATGATAAATTATGGACAATTAAACAAATTGAGGAATTAGATAGTTGTTGTTGTCTTATTGCACTTCTTCATTCAATTGGTAATAATTTAGATAAAATTAAATTCAAATCAAATTCTCCTTTGGCTGAATTTTTTGAAAAAACTAAAACAATGACTGCCGATGAACGAGCTACGACTTTGTTGAATGATAAAACAATTCATCAAGCTCATGAAGAAATAGCTGAACAAGGACAAACAGAAATGGTTGATAGCGGTAGAGTTGGTTATCATTATATAGCTTATATTGTATCAAAAAGTAATAAATTATATGAATTGAATGGAAGTACAAAAGGACCCCAAGCAAAATTCATTGGGGAATTAAATAATGAAAGTTTTTATTCTTATATCACTCGAGAAATAAAACAAAGAGTGAATGAACTCAATGGCGATATTCGATTCAATTTGATTGGATTAACAAAAAAATAAAAGATTTTTATTGATTTTTCTAGATAAATATATATATATATATATTTAAATATGCCCAAAGATCGTCAATCAACTGTACGACAACGTCAACAACGACCAAAGAATAAACAACAAATCTCTACAACAGAACAAGCCAAAATAGAAAAAAATGAGAATTATTTTCAGGTAAAAATATTATCAATAAAATTATTAATATTTTTCTTGTCTTATACTAGTCATCTTCGATTACATATCTATTGGTTTTATTAATTATTGCATTTATTATATCTTATTTACATTTTTATTATATTTATAAATTATTTGAGAATGATAAACATTTTTCACATTTATCAACATTAGAACGTGAATTATCATTTCGTACAGAAATGGGTCTTTATTATTCATATTTTAAACAAATTGCTATTGATTCATCATCATTTACACAAGGATTTCTTTCGATTGTATTTGATAATCGAACAGAAGCACCAACAACAATCAATGTTTTAGAACGTTTTAATCTTTATCCGGAAGTTTTACTTGGTTTTATTTATCGTATTATGAGATCTCAAAATATGTTATCAGAAGTATGTTATCAAGTTACGCGTGGAGAAACAATGAGTCCAGTTTCATCATGTGAAGGACACAAAGAACCAACTTATTTTTATGTAACAAGTGTTTTTATACTCTATGGAAGTTTACTTGGTGGTCTATTTTTATTTGGAACATATTTATCAAAAAGTATCCTTGGTGGAATATTAACAACATTGGCTTATATATACAATCATGGTGAAGCAACAAGAGTTATGTGGTAAATTATAATCATAACGTATATTCAACTAGCGAGGGAACCTCTCCAGGTGATAAAGCCCTTTAAGCCCCATCTTTTGGCGATAGATAGACCTCAGTGAGGTATGAAAAACCTCAAGAGGATTTGTGCCCGTTCGCCTTCTATTTAGGGTTATAGGCATATTACTGAAATTTTTACCTATAGCAAGGTATCTACCAACAAATCGAATATCGGTATTTAGAGCTGAGATGTTGCCCACAGATAGGTCTATAGATAGGTAGAATGCCCTGAAAATTTCAGCTCAAAAGAATATTTCCTTCAAGAGAAATCCATGTCTCAAAAGTCACCCTTATCTTCTGAAAGATGCTATAACTTTTTCGTTTTTTGAAACTTTAATATCTCGAGGAGGAAATATTCTTTTGAGCTGAAATTTTCAGGGCATTCTACCTATCTATAGACCTATCTGTGGGCAACATCTCAGCTCTAAATACCGATATTCGATTTGTTGGTAGATACCTTGCTATAGGTAAAAATTTCAGTAATATGCCTATAACCCTAAATAGAAGGCGAAAGGGCACAAATCCTCTTGAGGTTTTTCATACCTCACTGGGGTCTATCTATCGCCAAAAGATGGGGCTTAAAGGGCTTTATCACCTGGAGAGGTTCCCTCGTAAGATTTATTTTAATATTATTTATTTATTTTAGGACACCACCACTTCGTGAAAGTTTTTCATTTCCATTTCATATTCTACAATTATTTATTGTTACATATGTTTTACAACAGCAACAAACTTTGATGAATACTGATGTACTCAAATCTCTTTTAAAATATATAAAGAAAACAGATGCACCAATATCAATTGAATTACAACAAAATATCATATCTCGTAAACGTAAAATACAACTTGTACTGTTACTTAGTGGTTCAACAGTACTCTATATGTTACCATGGCAATGTAAGTATTAATTATAAAATAAAAGATTAATATTGAAAAATTGTAACTGAAATATAAATACATCTTCTCGTATTTGAATAGATTCATTAATGATTTGAAAATTTTCATTCTATTATCTCGACTAAATGAGGCACGCTTTAGATGGTATTTCATAGAGATGTAACGATGACGATCAATAACCGATTCATCGTCACCGATTAATCGGTTTAAAAACGGTAATCAGTCGAACCGATTAAACGGTAGAAGCCGGTAAACGATTTAAAACCCACGGTGAAGACCGATACTTTGACACTATTCGTCGCCGTCTTTCTGAAGGGGTTTGAATTAATTAATATACCGGTTGATCGATTAATCGTCATCGTTGCATCCTTAGTATTTTAGTTATTTTACCCATTTTATCATGTCAAAGTTAAGCTTAAATTTATATGTGAGATATATGTTACTATCAAAATTTTAAGAGAAAGTAGACGGAAGAAACGCTTATAAGCTTTGAACAAAAAGTCATAGCAACCTGTGGTTCTCACTATTGAATAGAGAATAGTTGAGAAGAAATGTGAATGTGTGAAACTGGTTTTCAAAAGTACTTATTCAAGCTAGCTTTATTCCAAATGCATTTTTTTCTTTTCCAGCAGAAAGTATCTTAATTATACTCACTTTCTTAAAAACCCTCTAGCGTCTTCCGGAAGTAGAGGCTTGAAGTTGCTTTGATACCAGTTTGAAGTGGACGCTTCGAGCTACAAATCTAGTGATAACAAAAATCAAATTCATTAACTTCCCTACTTACCTAGTAAAATTACGTTGAGACGTCATTACTCACACATAGGCTTGTACCCTCCGACTATCTTCTATCGAAAGTCACAAGCTTATTTTTCACATTTTTGATTATATATAAAATTACTTTATTTTTATTTTTAGTTGCTCAATTTACATTAGCTACTCAATTATTATCACTTGGTCTTCTCTATATACTTGATCTTCTACCATTTCCACAATTCTTTTTTATTGTATGTACTCAAATCCTTTCATTAATAATATCAACTATATTAATGTTTGGCAATCGAATGTTATTAACTTCTTTATTTTCAACAGTTTTATTCTCATTTTATTTCGTTTGTATTCTGGATTATATTTATCTTAATTCATCTTCTTTATTTCAATCCTATCGAATTGTTATTATACTTCGTCGAATAATCTTCTTTTTAATTTCATTTATTTTTATTAAATTTATTATTATTAATTATCTATTTAAATCACCAGATGATGATGCTCATATTTGGGATATATTGAAGTCAAAACTTTCTTCAAAATTCCGTACATTTGATACACAATTATATACATGTGCAAAAGAATTTGATTTTACTGATTTAGAAACAATAACAAAATTATGTCAAACTGGTCTTATTCCATTTTCATTTATAATTCTATGTCGACTAGCATATAGTTTTCTATTAGATATATTTCAAAATCATAAGAATGAATATAAACAAATATGGAATTATTATCATCTTATTCAAACAGGTGCTTATATTTTAATGGGTATATTCATAATGCGTTTAAAATTATTTCCTGTACCACAATTATGTCTTTTAATTAGTCTTTATATGAATGAACAGTTATGGCCAAAAAAGATTAAAAAAATAACAAAATGGAAAACTGTACTTTTTATTTTCATCGTCATTGCAATGACTATTCAAGGAAAAACGAATATTAAAGAACAATTAGCAATTAAAGGAGAATATTCAAATTATCCAATGGAAAAAATGATTGAATGGATTAATTCTAATACTCAAAATGATTCGATTTTTGCTGGTACAATGCCAACTATGGCTAATTTAAAATTATCAACTGGTCGTTCAATTATTGTTCATCCTCATTATGAACATGGAAAAATACGACGTCGTGTTAAACTTGTTTATACAATGTATTCACGAAAACCACTTCGTCATATTCATTCAATATTAAAACAATTTCAAGTTAATTATTATGTTTATGAATCTCATTGGTGTACAATAACAAATCGTCCAAAAGGATGTTCATTTCCTGAAATGTATGATATTGATGAAGAAGATGAACGAATATTACGACGTACAACACTTGCTTGTCACACTCTTCAATCTCATCCTGAACCATATTTTAAAAAACTTTTTACTTATGATCATCTCAGTATTTATGCAGTTTTATAATTATAATAATAATCATTTTTCAGTAATAATATTTCGAATGAACAAAGATTTTATTGTGTTATTTTACATTCCTTTTTTTGTATATGTGGGTGCATGTCTGATAATGAATTATGACATTTGAATTTTGTTTTTCCCGAGAATATACGCATTTAGTTTATTATTTTAGGTTGTTTTTTGTTTTCTTATTTAAATTTAGAATTTATTTTTTAAAATAAATTATTATTATTCAATTGACAAATGATGATTTTAGTTACTTGCTGATTTTTTATATGCACTTAGTTTTAATATATAAGATTGTGTTTATGAGCTTTTTTAAAAGAGTGCGCCGTCGAATGTCAAGAATTATTAAATAGTTTCCTTCTTTTTTTTCTAACTGCAGAAAGAAAATCAATATCATGCAATTAAAGACATGTGAATATATTCTTCAACATCTTTTACCACCAGTTCGTCGTGCTTGTCTTCTTGTACCAGAATTAACATTGAGTATACTTACATCATCTAATCCTCTTTGGCATATTCCTTATGAAGAAGCAATGATGAAACTAGATAGATCTGATCCATGGTGGGCTTTCCTATGGCCAGGAAGTCAAGCATTGAGTCGGTATGTATTTATTTTATTTTATTTATAAAAAAAATGTCTAATTCTTATCAATAGTTATTTATTAGATAATAAATCATTAGTTCAAGGACGTCATGTATTAGATATTGGATGTGGATGTGGAGCAAGTGCTATAGCTTCTAAAATGGCTGGAGCTATCAATGTAATTGCTAATGATATTGATCCAGGTAAAGATAACTTTTTTTATATTATAATTTCTTCATATAAACTCTTTTTTAGATGCTCTAATTGCAACTGATCATAATGCTCGATTGAATAATGTTCTTATCAATAAATTTTCTTCTGATAATCTTCTTCAAAATCCATCAATGACATTAAATAATAATGTACTTGATTTACTTATCATTGGTGATATGTGTTATGATGATCAACTTGCTCAACAAATTGTAAATTTAATTATTACTGCTCGTCAATATCATCTACGTGTATTACTTGCTGATCCAGGTCGACATAGTTTTAAATCAATTGTTGTCAGTCAATTAAAAGATCTTATGAAATGTGTATGTGAATATCCAATCATTGATTCTGATTATATTGAATCGGATTTTAATACAATAAAAATTTGGACAACATAATCTATTAACTTTATTTATATGATGAATAAAAACGAAAACTATAGATATTTACATAGAATTATGTAAAAATTAAAATCTATTAAGAAAAGTTCTTACATTTTTCACTTGATTAATCATGTTTATAGTTCAATAAGAGTGATGATGATGTTAGCAATTAAATTAAAGAGAAAACATAAGTACATTCATTTGACATCTATTTCAGGAAAGTGCAAAGGTGAAACTATACAACATTTCTAATATTGAAATATTCTCGTAGAACTCAATCCTTATAACTGATTTTTTCATTCATTAAAAACAATTCTATTATTCAAAATAAATGTTTTTATTGAGATTTGATATTCTCATTTTTTTACTATCTGAAGAATACTTATGTTGCATCAATTATACTTTCTTATTTTGTTAATTAAAAAAAACTTCACAATAATCAACTAATGAATTAGAAGTGATTCTTAACATATAATAGGTACTCTTATATGAAGTAGATTTTTCTCTTACTTATTTCTAATCATACACTGATAATATAAACTATGCTGTCTGTTAAGTAGATATGGTTACTATATGAAATTGAAACTCACCATTTCGAATAAAGAAAATATTAAAGTTTCAATAAGATATTATAAATTGAAAAGAATTTCTATGAATTCATATACAACTATTTATTATGGAATTCTTGTTTAGTTTACATTTTGTTGTCAATATGATGAATTTTGATTTGTTTAGTTCTACTTCTATATGCACGATCACATAACTACGTTTCTTTTTTTTTTCTTCTTTTTCTTCTTTACAATTTTTTTTTCTAATGTTTTTTAATTCTGTTTTATATTGTCGCTGCTGCCAAAAGAAGAAGAAAACTAAGTGACGGTTGCTGTTTGACAAAGTGACAACCACAGAAACGAGCACAAAAAGACAACATACCTTACATAAATGACGATAAAGCATTGAAAAAAAAAACTTCAGCAAAGAAGCAATAGAAAGAAACTTGTTCTGCTTGATGTCGACAACAATTTTATCGATAATGATGATGTTGTCTGTATTTAGTCAACAATAACAAAAAAGTTTTTACGATTAGACAAGCAGAAGAAAAAAATAGGACGAAAATTGTAATATAATGGATGAAAATGCAAATTTAAATTCAAAAAATGAAGATGGAGCAGCTGCACCTGAAGTTGTTGACGAGCCTCATGTCGATGTTGACAGGTAATATATACATTTTATTAAGAACACTGAACTTGTTGGTACTTCTCATATTTCAATACTTCATTGTTAGTCATTTTTTTATTTTTCTTCTCTATCATATATATATATATGAAAAGTAATTTGATAAGTGATACTGAAAGGAGCAACAGTTAGTTTTTCATTTTTTCTTTTCTTTGATGGATGCTATCAACGAGTATAAGTATAAAAAACAATAAAAAAAAGCATACAGGAAAAAATATATATATATATATATCTTTATATTTAGTAATAATGATTCACTTACAATTGAGAAAAAATTACGTGTTCAAGATTTTAATTTACTTCATGAACGATTTAATCGTGCAGTAGTTGATGTTTCTGATGAATTCAATGATACATTAGCCGGTAAATACTATTTTTTTTTGGTTTATAATTCTCTAAATGTTGTTTTTTTGTTTCTAGGTTCATTAAATAAACAAGAATTTTTTGATTCATTTGAATCTCTATTAGATTTACATCAATACGGAAATCAATTAGAGAAATTATTTGATAAAGTATACAAATAATATTTCTATAGAAAATTTTTCATATTTTTAAATTTCTATAGCTCAATTCAAAAGAAACTGGATTGATTAATTGGAATGATTTTTGTACATATATGCTTCAATTTTATCAAGAAGAAGATTATGCAAATGCTCTTCGTACATCACCATTTAATAGTGAACCAAAAATTCGACATGTACCTCATAATAAAGTTTGTATTAAAATATGAATTTTTGAAAAAAAAATAATTTTTTTGTTTTTCGTTTTTTTAGTTAGAATTAACAGCAAAAGTTCTTCATATAGAAAATCCAGTTAAATTTATTAATATAAGTAAAGAAGGTTATTTAGGTTTATGGACAACTAATCTTAATCTTGAAAAAACTTATTCAGCTGCTGAAGAACTTGATGAAGGAACAAATAATAATACAGGTGGAGGTGGACAAACTCGTCGTAAAGCAGGAATGTGGATCACGGATGCTGTTTATATGCCAGATGCACATAAATTAGTATTAGCATCGACTAGTAGAGATTTACGTTTTTTTACTATTTCAACTGAAATATTTCTTGAAGAATTTGTTATATTTGGTAAGTTGAATAAATATGAATTAAAGATTAAGGAAATTCGATATTTATTCTGTAAAGGAGTTAAAGATGTACCAACATGTCTTGATTATTATCCAAGCCGTTCGGTAAGTAAAAAAATAAATAAAATAATTATTAATTATTTTGAATTTAATATTTTTAAGAATGAAAACACTGAATCTACTTTAATATTTGGTGATGATTGTGGTTCTATTCATATATTATATTTTAAACGTCCAACTACTTATCTATTTGATCCAGCACGAAAAAAAACAGATTCATCAAAATCTGATAAATCAGCAACAAATAATATTCAACGAATATTTTGGGATGTTAGTATATCTATATAGATTTATATATAATTATTTTATTCTTCTATATTTCTATACAGGAATTAAAAGATCATGATAAATTTGTTCGATATCATAGCATGGGTGCTATTCATCAAGAATATGTTCGTAAAATTCTTTATGTACCTCATAATAATTCAATAATTGCATCAAGTGGAGATAGTCGAAATTCTCTAGTTATTATTACTATAAATAAAATAAAGAAACCATATGTCTTTCGATCATATAAAGTAATATAAGAGTAGACTTAACTATATACTATCTATTTATTTATAGGGATGTGAATGTTTTGATTATAGTAGAGATTTAAATATTTTAATAACTGGTGGTGCTGATTATCTTGCACGTATTTGGAATCCATATGTAACACAAAAAAATACAGCTATTTTAGAAGGACATCATGCAGCAGTTATTGATGTTAGAATCAATGAACGTGTATCACAATGTTATACCTTTAGTAAAGATGCTGTATGTATATTTTTATAGAAAAAAAACAATAGCTTTTTCTTCTCATCTATTCATTGATATAGGTAATTAAAGCTTGGGATTTAAAAGAATTATTTTGTCTTCAAACAATTCCTGTACGATTTCCAAGTACATTAGGTGGGAAAACGCCAAGTTTTGGTTTATTTCCAATGGATTTATATTTAAATCGATCAAGTTTTCAGGATACAAGTTTACCTGGTGGTTTAGTTTTAGCATGCAATGATTATTTATGTTTAATGAAATTGGGACAAGATACATCTAAAGATCAAAATCTAGTTGAAACACATACAGCACCAATTAGTTGTGCTGTATATAATCCTAAACTTAAACATGTAATTAAATTAAATTATTTTTATTTAGAAAAAAACAAATACAAAATATTTATTTTTTTTAAATAGTTAATAACATGTGCGGATAATTCAAGTATAGGTGCTTGGGATATTGAATCTGGTCGTAAAGCTTATCTTGTACTTGATGCACATGATGGTGAAGAAATAACTTGTATTGCTATTGATCGACAATGTCGAAAGCTTGCAACTGGTGCTCGAAATGGTGTTGTTAAAGTAAGATTTTTTTATTTAAATTCTTTTAATTCTCTTTTTTTTATTAAGATTTGGAATAGTGCTAATGGTCAAAGTCTTCATGTATTACCAAGTGTCGAAGATGCTGAAATAACAGGCATCGTTTTTGCTGATAAAGGTATTATAACAGTTGGATGGTCAAGAAAAATTGTTAAATATGCACATTTTATATCTGATGTAAGATATGATTTGATTTAATAAATATATTCTTCTTTATTTTTTAATTTAAATATAAATATATACATTTATAGGAAAGAAATGATGATCAAACCGAGACGGTTGAGGTATTAATATAGTTAATAGAAGTAACACTTGTTTACAAAAGAAATTAATGCACGAATTGAATTAAATATTACATTAATTTTGTTTTCATATAATAATATATTTGGTTTTTTTATTCAAAAAAAACAATTCAATAATAGATTTAACTTTTGTATTCCTATTTAGCTTGTTATACCAAAAGCTGATTTAACATGGCGTGGTTCACAAATACATCGTGATGATATATTATGTTTAGAACATTTATTACCAGTTAATAATTTAATGTGTACAGCTTCATATGATGGTGAAATTAATGTATGGAGTATTGATACTGAAAAATTAATTATGTGTTTACGTAAAGCACCAAAAGCTGAACCGTACGTAATTACAGTATTCTATTCACATTTCATTTTTTGGATGGATAAGATAAAAATGTTAATATTATTTATTTGATATTTAGTCGTCGTGAACCATCGAATTATCGTCGATCAGCATCACATCGTTCAATAATACGTGGTCCAACACCAGTTGATAAACTACTTTTTCTTAAACATCGTGCTAAAGAAAATATGAGATTAGGTAATGAATTTTTCAAAATAAAAAAAGATATCTTCATTTGATTTTGTACCTATATTAATAGGCACTTTAATTTCAAGTGAAGCTGGTAATCTTCATTGGTGGTCACTTTATAATGAACGTAAAGATATGGGAATATTTTATGGTGCATCAAAACCAGGTGAATCAATATTAGCTATGTGTAGTGATGCAACCAATCGATATCTTATGTGTGGTGATACTCTTGGTGAAATGCGTGTTTGGAATATTGAAGATTATTGTTGTACAATAGCATCATTTGTTTCATATGAAACAAAATCACCACCACTTTTATATTCTTGGCAAGCACATGAAACGCCAATTATTTTTTGTGAATGGACAGATTATAAAGGACAAGGAGATTTTATATTAACTGCATCAACTGATCGTACAGCATGTTTATGGACATTAAATGGAGAAAAAATTGGAATATTTGGACAAAAACAACTTTGGGATATTGAAACAATTGTTTTAACAAGAATACCAAATGAAGATGAACAAAATAGAGAAGAAAATATTAACACTAATGAAAATAGTTCGAATGGTTTGTAGACATAAACAAATCAAAAATATGAACTTTTCTTTTTCATTAATATTTAATAGAAGTAAAATCAACAACAACAAATAAAACTAATTTACTACTACCGGAAATTACAGTAAGCAATGATGAAAAAAATGAACGATCACTACCACCATTAGCTAATCAAAATTCCAAAGTACATGCACCTCTAGGCATATTTCTATATATATATATATATATATATTCATTTCCGTTATTAGGTCACCAAAACCCCTGAAATAAGTGAATCTGCATCGCAAAATTCAACATTACCAGCAGTAAGACAATTCTATATAATTTATTTTCTTCTTATATTTATTACAAAAAAATTATTTCAGCGTACTTCTGGACTTGGTTTATCAGTTGAACGAGGATTAAATCAACAAAAATTAAAACGACAAGAACGACGTCATCGTTTTAGTGATATTGATGCTAGACATTTAGCTAAAGGCGGTGTATGTTTTACTCCATTCGCTTTACTTTCAACTCAAGTATAAAAATAAATTATTATTTTTCTAAATAAAAAATTCTATTTTTCTATTCATATAGGATATTGATGAAGCATCAGCTAATGCAAGTATTCAACATAAAGCAATAAGTTTCGAAGAATTATTTGCCGATAGTAAAGAAGAATTACCATCAAAATCAATTGCACCAACTAAAAGTCGACTTGTTTTACCATCAATAACAACACGTCAACGAACACCAACATAATTTACAAATTGTACATTAATAGAGAATCAATGATGAAACAAATAATTCAAGTTCTTTTATTATCAAAATAAGATACATTTATCCAAAAAAAAATGATTTCACAATTATTCTCAACGTCGTTTGAGTTTTCTTTTTCTATGCTTGACTATGATCTATATTAAACTATATTTTGTATGGATTTTTTCAGATTGTTTTGTTTTTTTCATGTTTAAGTTACATTCCTTGCATGCTTTATTATTGCACACTGTCAAAGAAATAAACTATGACAATAAAAATTGAATTGATGTTATGAATATCGAATTTTAATATTTTCTTAAACTACAAAAAGCATGTAATAAATGTCAAAGATCTTGCTATACTCAACTTTTTGCATGTCAATCGAATTATGATAAAGGCAAAAATCGAAGCATATATTCTAGTCATACAGAACAACAAAACTATAAGGGTGATATAATTTTCAAGGCAAATCGACGAGTTGTTTAGATTTAATAAAAATAATACGAAAATAAAAGAACTCGAATATATCTCATTATCATAAATTACATTTGATAATTTGTAGACATATTTTTGAACAACTGAACGGAAATACGATAAACAGGTACACAATATTTTTCTTATCATTAATAATAAAACTAGAACATTCTCTTGACAGGAAAATATTAAAATGAAAAAGATTATCTATAACAGTAAACGGAAAACAGATAACATCAAATTAATAGGAAACTTTATTCGAGTTGCAAATGGGTTAGCTATTAGTTGTGTTATTATTCATCTGATTATAGAAACTATTTCACTTTCTTGAATACATCAATTGATTGATAAAAATAATTTATCTTATTTATATTAAAGAAAGTTTTGCTCGATTTAATATCAAAGAATCAGTTCAAAATTTGAACTTCAAACTATGGATTAATAACAATATTGATAAAGGAAAATTATAAAAATTCTAACTTAGTAAATACATTACGGATGAATTTAAGAGTTTTATAACATATCACATCTTAGAAAATATCTTAAGTATTCCACTTTAAATACATATAAACAGAAAATAATCGCAATTTTATATCATTAATTAATAGTCTTATTTTTATAGTACATGTATTTCTATTGAATTAGTATGTTTCATTTCGATCTGTCTTTAAGTAAGGTTTTTGATATAATAATTGTATGATTGTATATTTATGATACATCATGAAATATTAAAAGATTAGATTACAGAAAAACATTTTTTAGAAAAAACATTTCTAATTGATCTTTTAAACCATCGAAATGTGATGCTTCAGTTATATTATTTATTAAATTTAATGAATCTGCATAAGGTTCATTATTTCGTTTCATATCGTCCCATAATTGTTTTGATTCCAATATTTTAAGATGTGTGTGCGGCAATTCTTCGATGCACTTGATTTTATCATGAATAGTATTATTATTCATATAAATCATGATTTTTAACGAACATTTTAAATCAAACTTTCTTTCATAATGATGATTTTAAACAAAAACTTATAAATTCATAATCCAGATCCAACAATCCGACCCGAAAACGGTCGGTTTCAGTCAATTCCGGAGATTTCATAGAAGCAGTATTCCGGTACGATCATCGGATTCCTGCGTGAAATTTCTGACATTTCCCTGCTAGTTTCGGTAAAAAGCAGTATGTTTCATGCGGGTTTCAGCCGGAGATTTACGGAATACTGATTCAGTAATCATCGAGTGGAGATACTTTTAATGTTGTACATTGATAAAAATTTCGTAAATATTGCCCATGTATCTTTGTCCAAAATTATTTTTCTCGATTGTGTTGTTGTTGATGGTTCATTTGAATGGTATATTTTTAAATCGTAGCTTTTAAAATATGCTTAACTATTTGAATATTCTTTCTTTTCCACGTAAAAAAAATGTCATATATGTAAAGTTTGTTAAAAATCCATAAATTTTTTGACGATCTTGTACATGTAATACTGTTTATAAATACTGTAATATTTGTCCTTTAGCTGGTTTATCTGTTGTATATATTTTTGGTGCTTTTATTTTCACCGAGACATACCATAAAATCTTGTAAAGATTGATATTCTTTTTTATCTCGATATTTATTGTCTTTCTCGTAAATAAGAGTGTAGCAGATATAAACTGCTGGTTCTCTTGCTTGTATGTTCGCACTTCACTGATCGGTCCAAGACTTAGTTAAAGATATGAGAGAAATTTTCTTTACAAGAGTTGACCGAAGGGTAATCGGGATCGAGAAACTCAAATCTGATCTTAGTTTTTTAAAATCTATTGCGAACCAGATTTTTACACAAAGGACCACTTTTTTACGAAAAAAATTATAAGGGTTGGCTGAAGGGTATTTATGAACGAGGAACTCAAGTCTGAAGTCAGTTTTTGAAATTGTTTGAATAAATAGTTTATTGATAGCGAGGACACATCGTTTCTACGAGAAAGAGCTGAGCAAGTCTTCAGACGAACGTTACTTGTTTTATAAAGAATAAAGAAATTATTTTTTCTTAAATAGCTAAAATTTTGATCTTTTCCGACTAGCTCGTTAAATATTATAAGGACACAGGCTAAAAAAGATTTTGGAGAGAAGTTTTTTCATAAATATTTTATGCTTCACATTCATTTGCTAACACTATTTTATATTAGAATGTAGCTGGTGCCACGAAAAAACTACGGTCAAAAATACCTATTCTTATATCAATTATTTATCTATTTACTGATCACTTGAAAATATTTTCTTTATTCTTTATAATATAAAATAATACTCCTATTAGGAATAGTATAAATAATTTGAATTCGAATTTTCTAGATAGTTAAGAGACATCTAAATTAAGTGTTATCTTATCATCAAGAAAAATCAAATACTATCGTTTGGATATCAATAAGCGAGATAGGTTTTGAATAAATACATATATATGTTTACTTGTAGAAAGAATAGTAAAAACAAAATTTTTAGATTGATTCTAATGGAAACATGGACAGTTAAACGTGATGAATGTATATATACATCGTATTATTGGTAAAATAAAATACAATATATTTATATTTGTTATTGTAACAGGAGTTTGTTTTAGATTAATTTTTAGTGAAGAAAATATTATGGAAACTTTTGTGAAAGTTGGAAACAAAATGATTCAAATCATTTAGACAATCTTTATGCAGTATTTATATCGAATGAACGTCGACAAATTCCTATTTGGAAACAAAAATCTGTATTTAATGATAACTATCCTGTTACATGGGTACCATATTTTTTATAATATTAAAATAAAAAAATTAACGTCTATTATTATTATAGGATTATCATGTGATCTTAGTCGATAAATCTGTATCGCCTACAATCATCTATGATTTTGATTCTACACTACCATTTCCTGTTTCTGCAATCGGTTATCTTCGATCTGCTATTCGTGATGAAATAAATCTACTACGTAAATTTCATCGGTATATACTTATATTACATCGTATAGAGAGTATGCTACGAACGTTAGTTGAAATTCAGTCGAGAATGAAGTATGTCCTCTCTTATTTCTAAAAACATGTAGAAAATACAATAACAGATGTGTGTATCGATATCCATTGTATTTCTAAAAACTCTTCCTTTATCAATTTGTCCTGATATTTATAAGAGAAGGATCAGATAACAACATTATTATGTTTCGATTATTTACTTTGATTGAAAATTTGGAAAAATAAAAAAAAATATTTCATAAATCTGTTGATCACGAGATAATTGCGTCGAATGAATATGAGAATATTATGGAAGTGCGTCAATGAATGTTGAATAATACAACACATCTGTTAAAAAATATTCAGTTTGACGTCAAAA